ATCTGCGCTGGCACCGCTCGCGCCGATTTCTCTCCGCACGGTCAGCCTTCTCAGCCTCCTGGGAATCATATAAATAACAATGCGAGGTGGCATCCTCCATCCCCCTCCCTCCTCTTCTCTCTCCCCCATTACTCCATCCTCTCCTCTCCTCTCTCCTCTCCTCTCTCCTCAGCCCTCCTCCTCCTCATCCCCCTCTCCTCTCCTCTCATATCCTCCTCCTCCTCCTCCTTTCCCATATCCTCCCTGTGCGTGGTTCCGTGCGGTTTTTGCCTGTTGCAATGGTTTTAATACCCTATCCTTGTCCAACTCGTCCATGGGCACGCCCCACTTCGCCAACAACGCGGCCGCTTTGGTCGCCAAGCCGGCGGCACGAATGCGGACGGTTTTCTGCATGTCGCGCCTCTTCTCCACGAGCTTCGCCTTCTCGTTCGCGGAGGGCTCGTTCCAGAGCGACTCGTGGGAGTCGATGGAGAACCACACCTCCTTGTTGGATCTCGTCGTCCGCAATTCCCACTCCGTCTCGACCGCCCACTGGGCGATTGACGCCGTGAGAGCTGCTTCGTCGGGCGTCTGTTGAATAAGATCCCCTGGTTTAGGGATGTCGCTGTCCTCGTAAACTGCTCCGCTGTCCTTGGCCGCAGGGCCCGCGTCGCCCACCTCGTGCTTGTACCAACACTTCTCTCCGTACAAGCAAGACCCAGCCTTGTAGTGGAAGCACGCAGGACGGCTGCCGCCCCCGTTGTCCGTGCTGCTGCCTGCCGACGCATCGGCGCCGCTGTGGTAGAAGCGGCAGCGCGCGCCGTAAGAACACCGACCTCTTTTGAAGTCTCGGCACAGGGGCCGCCAACCCTGCCTCTCCCAAGAGTAGTGGCCCTTCGCGTTCTGCTGGGTCTCCTCTTCCCCGCCCTGCTGCTTCCCCGTCTCCTCGTCCTTCTTCTCCGTCGTTTCCTTCTTGTCCTTCTCCCCCCCGTGGTGGCCCCTCTCGTCGTGTTGGTGCGCCTCCTTCCCGTCCTTCTGGTTTCTCGTCGTCTTCTCCGCCTGCTCCGCGGCCTTGCCCTTCTCCGTTTGTTTTCCCTCCTGGTGGCCCGAGTCGTGGTCGTGGACAACCTTTGCCTTCTTGAGGGCTTGCGTTTCCTTCTCGGGGTCGAAGAGCCATGCGCCTTTCGGTTTGAACTCTTTCCCCTCGGCCACTGCCGCTTTCCATTGCCGCTTTTGGCGGGAAATTTGCTTTTGAGTGGCCGACATCGCTGTCTTTGTATGAGAGCGCACTGTTTGCTTAAGCCAAAACTGCTATAGAAATCATCCATCATACCATTTCGTCATCCTCCTCTACCTCCTTCCTTTTGTGGAGGGTTACAAATGAATTCCTTCTTTGGAGGATTACACTAGGATTCCTTCTGTGGCGGATTACAATAGGATTCCTTTTGTTTAGGATTACAGTAGGATTCCTTTTGTGGAGGATTACAAAGGGATTCCTTCTTTGGAGGATTACACTAGGATTCCTTTTGGGGGCGGATTCAAATACGATTCCTTTTGTGGAGGATTACAAGAGGATTCCTTTTGTGGTGGATTACAATAAGATTCCTGTTGTGGAGGATTACAAAGGGAATTCATTTAAGAAGGATTACGCTAGGATTCCTTTTGTGGAGGATTGCAAAGGGATTGATTACAAAGGGATTCTTTTTGTGGCGGATCTTGAAGTCAAATTTCCAAGGTCCCAGAAAAGCAGAAAAAGCAGCAACAGCAGAAAAAACAGTCATACAATTGAGGAAGCACTGTGTTTTCACAGGTTTCATTGGTTTCCGAATTAAAAATTCAATGGTTTTACTGCAAAAGCATATGGTTTTCATTGGATTGCATTGGTTTTTTGTTTAAAAAACAGCCTTAAACCTCAATGATCCCTGTGCAGGCACAGGGATCATCTGGTCCCAAGATTTTTTTTTTGCAAAAAACATTGAAAATCAATGAAAACCATATGTTTTTACAGTAAAACCATTGAATTTTTGATTCAGAAACCAATGAAACCTGTGAAAACACAGTGTTTCCTCAATTTTATGACTGCTTTTTCTGCTTTTGCTGTTTTTTATGCTTTTTCTGTTTTTTCTGGAGCCTTGGAAATTTGACCTCAAGGTCCGCCACAAAAGGATTCCTTGTCTGACGCCTTACAACAGGAATCCTTTTGTGGCGCCTTACAATAAAGAGAGAGGGAGAGAGAGAGAGGGGGAGGGAGGGAGAGAGGGAAAGAGAGAGGGAGGGAGAGAGAGAGAGAGAGAGAGAGAGAGAGAGAATTCTCAAAATCACGTCAAAGAAAGAGAAGTCAAATGATACAAACGATCCGCCCTACTGGGCGTCCCCCAGTATATATCATTAAACCAGGTCCGATTAAACCCAGTTCTGCCAACGCCCGATTCTTAGAAGAACGACTGCCTCTCAGGAGGCCCGGGCCCTCTCTGTAGATGTAGGGCCGGCGGCTTCTGAGAGGCAGCCTCCCTCTAAAAAGCTACCCCCCTCCCTCCACCCCCTTGCGCGCGCCGCGCCGCCAAACATCCCTCACCGAGCGCGTTCCACGACTCGCAGAGTGCCGACTCGCAGACATGCAAAAAACATGTGTTCGTCTCAACGCAATGTATTCTGATCGTTTGCGAGCAGCTACTGTGCGAGTAGTGGAGCGCGCTTTTCCAATATCCGTGCCCGCGGCCTCGCGGGCCAGACACCTTGGCCGCGACCCCGCGTGGATGCGGGGCGCTTTCTCGCGGGTGCCCCGCGCGGACCGGTTCCGCACGACCGCCTATCGGAGGGATCGCGCCCCGGAATCCAGACGGCGAGGGCGCGGATACGGATGTGTTCGCCGCTCGTGAGGTTGCCTCCAGCAGCTGGTGGGCGCGGCCGTGGGACCCTGCTGGCCCTCGCGGGACGAAGCCCGACGACCGCGACCGAAATGTCGCGGGATCGCGCCGACGCCGATCTTGCTCATATGGCCCATGCCAGCCGTGGCCGAGCCGCGAGGACGATGCACGAGTTGACGATGGCCAGGATGGACGATGCCCAGTATCGACAACGCAATTCCCGCGTTCAGTCTTGGGCATGGCCAGCGTCCACCCTGGCCATCTACACATCGCACATCGCCCTCGCGACGCGGCGACGACGACCAGCATGGGCCATGACCGAGACCGGCGTCGACGCCTCCGCGCTCGGAGTTCTGGTCGCGGCCACCACCGTGGCATGGGGGCCGCGACCGCAGCTGAGCTAAAACAGGGCTAGGATCGGGATAAATCGCTCCAGAGCGTTCCAGAGCGCTCTCAGAGCGTTCCGGAACGCTCTGGAGCGGCCGCGGCGCCCAATAAATCCTCCAAACCCGCCGATTCTCAGAGATTTCGAGTTATCCCGATCCGATTTTGTACCGATTTTCGCGTCGTTTTATGAGCGCGGGGCGCTGTAGCGATCAGCGACCCACGACGGCGACCACGACCGCTCTCCTCCCCTCCAGGCGCGGGCGCGCCGCCGGCGAGGCCGGAGGCGCAGCGGGAGGGCCCCTTCGGCCCGCTGCCCTACTCGCCCTTCAGCTCGGACCGGTGGGAGCTGGAGCCGGAGGGCCGCGCCTTCTGGGCGGGGCTGACCGAGTACTCGCTGAGGCCAAGGGGGGGGGCGACTGATCCGCACAGACATCACAAGCTCCTCCTCCCTCCTCCTCCTCCTCCTCCTCCTCCTCCTCCTCCTCCTCCCTCCTCCTCCTCCTCCTCCTCCTCCTCCTCCTCCTCCCCCTCCTCCTCCTCCTCCTCCTCCTCCTCCCCCTCCTCCTCCTCCTCCTCCTCCTCCTCCTCCCCCTCCCCCTCCTCCTCCCCCTCCTCCTCCTCCTCCTCCTCCTCCTCCTCCTCCTCCTCCTCCTCCTCCTCCTCCTCCTCCTCCTCACATGGGAGCTGTCGTACGTCCGCGCGGATATTATGGATCGGCGCTGGACCCTGCTGCCCGGCGCGCGGAGCACGCCCGGGGCGGCGCCAGAGGCGCCACCAAAGGGGTCCAGCGCCGATCCAAGAAATCCGCGCGTACCTCCGACAGTCTATGCTTAAAGCCAACACGCTAAGCTGAGTACCCCTTTCGGCTCAGGAGGGGCTCCAGTTTTCGGGCCGCTCCTCAGGTCTGGGTCAGGGAGCCCCTCGTGGCCGAGGCTCGCCGTGGCCAGCAGCAAGCTCAGCGTTGCTTACGGCAACACGGTGGCTGTACGCCGTTTTGTCCGTCTCCCCTCCCAGAGGCCCCATCTGATCTACTTCTCCAGCGTCTGGGATCTGCTGCTGCGCCTGCAGAGCACGCCCCTGGCAGACCTGCGCAGCCGCTCGCAGCGGATGCTGCAGTTCCACCGCGAGGGCGCCGAAGAGGCGAGGCGCTTCTGGCAGAGCGTCTGCCTGACGCTGCTGGACCCCGCAGGTGATCACCATCGCCAGAGCCATCGGGGCTCACTTATGACTGGGGGTCAGCCAGTCCCCTTCGAGATCCTCTGGCTGACCCGGGTCTGGGAGCCACCTGGGGCCGACTCCGCTTCCCCGCCCTCCGCGGGCCTGGGTTGGGGAGCTGCTTCGTGGCTGGGCCCGGGTTCGCGACGCGGCCCTGGCTGACCCGCGTTTGCGCTGACCGGGGGCAGTACGTTCCCGAAACCATCCCTGGCATCGCTCGGACGTGTACACTTTTTCTCGGCGAGAACCATCGTGGACCATCCTGGACCATCGAGCCAAACAAAAAAAGCACGCACGAAACCGAGACATGCACGGGACATGGACGTCCGAGCGACGGCAAGCATCCCACACCCCCAATTGGGACACGGCAGGGCCCGGGTTCGCGACGTGGCCCCGGCTGACCCGGGCTTGCGTTGACCAGGGGCAGTACTAGGGGGCCAGATGCGAACCCTACCCCTACCTTTCACGATTTCTGAGGGGCAGGGGTAGGGTTCGCATCTGGCCCCTTACGTACGTTCCCGAAACCATCCCACACCCCCAGCTGGGACACGGCAGGGTGCCTCTCCCATCATCCCCCCCCCTTAAGGGTTCCTGAGGGGCCCGGGGGAGGCGGCACCCGCTCCTGCCTCGGAGGGGGGCAGGTCGGCGCCCGGGGCCAAGGGCTTCCCCGGTGGCGGTGGGGACGGCTTTCTCTTCCATCTCCTCCGCCCCCTCCTCCTCCTCCTCCTCCTCTTCCTCCTCCTCCTCTTCCTCCTCCTCCTCTTCCTCCTCCTCCTCCTCCTCCTCCTCCTCCTCGCCCCCTCCTCCTCCTCCTCCGCCTCCTCCTCCTCCTCCTCCTCCTCCTCCTCCTCCTCTTCCTCCTCCTCCTCTTCCCTCCTCCTCCTCTCCTCCTCCCTCCTCCTCGCCCTCCTCCTCCTCCTCCTCCTCCGCCTCCTCCTCCTCCTCCTCCTCCTCCTCCTCCTCCTCCTCCTCCTCCTCCTCCTCCTCCTCCTCCTCCTCCTCCTCCTCCTCCTCCTCCTCCTCCTCCTCCTCCTCCTCCTCCTCTTCCTTTCTTGCCCAGAGGTGACGCGGCGGTTTTCAAGGGCCCCCCCGAGCCTGGCTCCTGATGCGGTACGCGGCCACCCGCGGCGCCTCGCACAGGGTGTCTGGCGAGACCGGGGGGCGGCCTTCCCAGAGGGCGAGGTGGTGGCCTCCCCCCCCCCTCCCAGAAGCTCCCGAGAGGTCATCCTTGAGATGTCACAGGCCTCCGTGGCCCTTTGAGCAGCCCCCCGCCTTCTGAGAGGGCGCGGTGGCCTCCCCCCCCCAAAAGGCTCCCGCGAGGCCATCTTCTGCAGGCCTCCGCGGCCCTTTGAGGGGCCCCCCGCCGTCTGAGAGGGCCGCCCCCCCCCGCGCCACCCCCCTGGCGGCGCGCACCGCCCACGCCCGGCGAGTGCGGCCCCGCCGCCGTCCAGGCTGGCCGCGGTGCCCAGCTGCCCCCCCGTGCGGCTCGCGCCAAGGGCCGCGGGCGAGGAGAAGCGGAAGCGGAGGCAGATCGTGGAGGAGCAGAGGGACCAGAATATTCCAAAGGGCGGAGGAGGAGGAGGAGGAGGAGGAGGAGGAGGAAGAGGAGGAGAAGAACGAATAGCCACGGGAGGGGCATTTCCCGCACTGTATTTGCTATCGAACGTTGCCAATCGGTTGGACGGTTGACGCTTGGAGATGCGCGCAATGCCCCCTAGGGACCATTCGACCCAGTCGCGGCCTTGAGCGGCCACCTGCCGTAGCTAGCTAGTCAGAGGCACCCAGTACGGAGTCGCTGATCGTCCTTCAGCTCCGCCCACCAGAGCCGTACAGTGGGAGCCCATGCCAAGAAACACCCTGCTTGCCTCCAGGGTGCCCTGGGTTTCTTGGGCTTCGATGGTTTTGCTATGGAGAGTGTGACGTTCCCACACCAGAAATACGTGGACGTCCTGGGGTATCAGGGTTGGGTTTCTTGTGGAAGGTTTCTTGTGGACTGGCCTCCACTGTAAGGAGTTTCGAATATGGGGTGAGGAAGTCTGGGTTTGCCGCTGCTTGCTTCGATCCAGACTATCCCCACAGGGACAGGGCATCTGGCCGTCGCCAAGCACCTTGGGGCCGATCCCATGCCGGGCGCATTCCGTACTACACGCATGTCATATTCTGGTGCATCGCAGGCTCCCGCCGAACCCCCCACTCCAGACCACAGACTCCCTCGTCTGCCATCCGGGCAGGACTCAGGAGGGAAAAAAGCACAGACACAACGAATCGTCGATTCCCCAGAAAATATGGGAACATATGGGAAGTGTGAGGGAAGACAAACAACCAGAATATGTTGGAAAAGATGGGCAATCCTGTTGTGTGTGTGTGCGTTTATTTGCGTGTCCCAGGGCCCCTCCAAGGACCTGCAGCAGCTCCCCGAGGGCCGAGCAGTGCGAGCGCGGGCCGGCCCGCAGGACGTGCTGCGCCGCGGCTGCTGCGGCCGTGCTTCGGCCCGGCACGTGCCGCCGCGTCTCCGCTCGCTGCCCCCCGCGCGCTGCCCTCCCCGCGGGCCCGCCTGCGTGTCGAGAGGGTGTCGGCCGAGAAGGTGCCGAAGCAGAGTCGTGCAGCAAGAGCCTGGACGCCCGAGATGGGTACGGAAAGATTGGGTACAAAGGCCAACAGCAGTTCCTGTTCGTTTTGAACAGGGTTCGCTGTCCACGCCGCCGCGGCCTGTGTCCATTCGAGACAGAAGGCCGCCTGCCCAACAGCGGCCGCTGTTGGTTTGGGACAACACTTGTTGTTGGGCATTGTACCCATTTTTTCCGTACCTATTTCGGGCGTCCAAACAAGAGGACGCGCCGGCGAGGATTTTCTGTGCCGCGGGGCGGGCAATTATTCAAGCAGTGGCGAATTGTCCTGGCTCGCCTATAGCCCTACCAAACCATGTTCTAAGACTGAGGTAGGGGGGAACGGGGGGAGTGGATTGGAACCGATCTTTCGGACAACTTTCCTGGTTTGCTCTTGCCCGATGCTTCCGCCCGCCGTCCCCTACCTCAGTTCTAAGAACCTCTTG